GCCTCTGTGGGGCCAGGTGGGGCTGCCGCCGGGCTCCGAGATTCTGGCAGGCCGTCTGGCCGAGGCGTGGGTATCCTGCTGCACTCAGCCCTTGCGAGGGTTTTCCCTAACCATGCACACGAAGCTCATGTGGACTGGAAGAACAAGGTGGTCACCACCCCGGCCTTCATGTGTGAGACTGCACTGCACCACATCCACGACGGGATCGGGGCCATGGTGAAAAGCGTGCTGGAGCTCACCGGGAAGTGACCGCCCGCTCAGCCGCTGCCGGTTGCTGGTGCCCTCTGCCACGGGGCACAGCAGCCATAGGCAGTTAGACCCCGGCGTCTGCCTGGAGGAGGAGCTCTGCCACGGGGCAGTCTCCCGGGCGCAGTCCCTGCTTGATTCCCTCGTGTCCTGGAAGCTGAGTGGGAGCCAGAGGGACACTAAGCAGAGAAACCGTCCTCGCTTGGGTCTGGTGGCTCTGCACATCGATGCGGTGTCCTAAGACTGAGTCTGATGATCAGGAAATGAGATGAAGGGAAGTTCTGTAATGTGGAGTAAATGTGCACTAATTAAAACGAGGGAATTTTTGGAGCCAGCAGTCCCTTTAGCCCTGGAGAATAAACTCCTTTCCAGACTGGAAACTTTTGGCATCTACGTTTCAGGCCTCTGAAACTGGGGAGTGGGTTATAAATAAGGTCTCTTCAATTAGTCTCAGTTCTCCTAATTTTTGACAGAAAGAGGAAATCGCTGATATTTAGCCCAAGTAACGGCCGCCAGGGGGTCCCTGGGTGGTGGCTTCTGGTCTGGCAGGCCTCAGGGTGTGCTACATCCTTTCTATGTGGTTTTGGTCTGGGAAACACATCTCAGTGGGAGTGTGGACATCTGCCCATTCTGGAACCTTCTCTCCAGATGGGTCTCCAGGCAGATGGGCCAGGCAGCCCTGGGGCCATGTCCTCCGTGGCACGCTGCAGCCTGGCACTGGCCAGTTCCTTGGGACTGTTCTGTCCCCTCTGAGATGCTGGCCCTGGAGAGAGGTGCTGAGCCTGGAAGGCACTGCTGCCCCCACAGGATGTATGCGGACCTTCAGGAGAGGGAGACCCATCCTGCGCCTGGGCAGTTTCTGATTCTTCCCCCACAGGACCCCAGTTCCTGCCAGAGCTGGGCCTCCCGGCTGGGCCTCCCTCGGTCGGTCCCGGACCCAAGAGCCTGCTGCCCATGCCTGAGCCCCGCCATGCTGCCTGAGTGAGCTTGAGCCTCCTGGCCCACCAGAAATTGGCATCCAGGCTCCACCTCTGTCCTGTCCTCATGAGCTGTTGGAACTACGTATACGCTTGGGTGGGGGTGCCCTTCCTGCCCACTGTCCACACTCCTGTGTGAGGCTGGGAGCCCCCACTTTCCCTCCCATGCGTTGGCCCCAAGCTGCCTCACGCTGTGCTTCCCTGCTGCGTGATGCCCTTGTGTGGGCCCTGGGCATGCTGGGCTCGGGTGTGTCCCCTGGGCGTCCCCCAGGGCCTCCTGCCCTCAGCCTGCAGTGCCGGTGGCCTTTTGGGCTCAGTGGCTCCTGTCACACAACGTCTGCCTGTCCACTTGGTGCTCAGCTCGCTCTTGGTCCCCTCTGCCCTTGGGACTGTCAGGGTCTCTGCTGAGTTCTGAGCATCCTGGGTTGCGGGTGGCTGCCTGAGGTTTCCCTGGCTCCTGCCCATCTGCTGGGCCTGGCTGCACCTGTCCATTCTGCCTTCCAGATGTCACTCTGGCTGGTGTCAGAAGACCCTGTCCGAGTCGCCCCATCTGACTCAGGGTTACTGGGTGCGAGTCCCCAGGGCACCAGGCCCCACGTGTCCTCCCACGCGCCACGTCCCACAGGGTCCAGGTGGGTGGCTGTGTTCACTGTGCTGGGGTCCTGCGCATTCCTGGGAGCCGGGTCGCCCCATGGGATTTGCCTCCCAGTGGGGCCTGGGAGTGACTGGCTGAGCACAGCACAGGCAGTGGCCTGTGTACCCGCACAGCCCACAGTGGTGCCAGGAGATCTGTTCAGGGGCAGCGTGGGTGCCGTGGAAGAAAACCCTGCCGCCCAGGCAGACTCAGATGCAGGCAGTGGCCCATGGCGGGGCCTTCAGCCCCTCGCCTCTCCTCCACTCCCAGGGTGCTGCCGAGGGCAGACAGGAAGTGCTGGAAACCCCCTGAGGAACAGCTGCTGTTAGCACTGTGGGCTGAGCACAGACAACCCCCCCAACCTCCTGCTGTGCCCAACGTGGTGATGCCTGACAGTGCTTCCTGCCGGTTCAGTCAGGCCTAGAGGTATCTGCCTGTCCCGGTGCTCTGGGGCTTAGACCTGAACTCTAGGAGGCCCTGAGAGGGCTGCTGCAGACCGGAGCCAGGACAGCAGCTACCTGCTCACAGTGACTGAGGCCCGCCTTGTGCCAGGTGCTGTTTTACACAGTGGGGACACCACCTTGCCTGGCCTTGTGAAGCTGGGTCAGGAGTAGCAGCACAGGCTGCTGGGCATGAGCCAGCTGGGCAAGGTGGCCAACTGGGAGGGAGAGTGGGCAGTGCTAGGGACCGGCAGGGTGGTCAGGGCAGGGGACAGAGCCCAGCTGGGAGAGGAGCAGCTGGGAGCTGAGGGCCACCCCTGGTTGGATGCAGGGGCTGCTGACTGCTGACTGGGACAGGGTTGGGGGAGGGCCCGGAGCTGGGGACCTGACAGGCTGTGGGTTCACACAGTGCCACCAGGGGGCGCACCTGAACTGTCGGCAGGCTGTGTTGGTTATACACAATTTTGGGGAAAAATCATTTCACAATTATGATCAGGCCTAGTCTTCTTGTCTACAGGCCAGCTATGACATGCGAAACAACTCCATTTTTGCCTCTAGTCGCAGATGAGACAGTGATCCTATGATGCTCTTATACTCAAGGGCAAGATTATATCAACTAAAGATATCCTTGGTCTTTTTAGAAAGGGGTAGAGAGCTCACCTGGGGAGGGACAAGTTCCATATCAGTTTAACTCATCCCACCCACTGTTGTAAGAAGTCTTTGCTCATCTTGCTGTCCAAATAAACGTAAGACCCTCATCAGCATAAGATCTTCGTGGTTTTAGGGTTGCTACCACCCTCCGAGACATCTGATGCTCCCTATGAACTCAATAAATAGTGGCAAGGTCAGGTGCTTTTGTCTTGGCTGCGCAGAGCAGCACTGATCAGGCCCAAAGCTTGGCATCTTCTCTGAGACTTGTTTTCTGTATTCATTAATTCGCCTTGTGCTGTTGTGGCTCACAGGAGACCAGGACCCACTGCAGGGGTTCTGGTAACACCCCCTTTCCCTGTTTCCTACAAGGCTGCAGGCTCCAGGCTGGTGCAAGGGTGGGCTTCTTCCCTGGCTTCAGGACAAGGTTCATCCTCTTCAAGGGCCCTCCCTCCCTGGACCCCTGTGTCCTTCACCTGTGTCCTCTCTGGCCCCCCGTGGGCACTGGGCTCCAGGCTGCTGCTCAGCATTTCCCAGCCGCCAAAATTCCCACTTGCTGCCACCCCTGCTGTCCCACCCCCATGCCTAGCCCAGGTGTCCCTCACCTGCCTGCCTCCTGTTCTCGCCACAGAGCCACCCAGCGTGGTATGTCCATGTGGCACACCACTCCTCACCACGATTTGGGACCACTGTGCCCGTCTCCACCAGAAACCAGACCCAGGCACCCAGCCCTTCTCCCTCAGCTTCAGCCCCTTAGTGGCTCAGCCAGGCCACACCCAGACTCCAGCTCCAGGGACTTCTCTGTCCACGCCTGTCCCCCAGGTCCCTCAGCCCTGTGTAGCTCTGCCAGGCTGGGTGGCCCTTCCGGGCATCCTGGTTCCAGCTGAGCAGACTTCCCTGTGTGCCCTGCTGAGGAGGTGCCCTTGCTTGCCTCCCCCTTCAGAGTGCTGGTCGATGGACACGTGTGTGCTGCACCCTCAGCTTGTCGTTTGTCCTGCCCGCTGCACTGAGCTGCAAGACAGAAGGCACAGGGCTGCTCTGCCTTTTGAGATCCCCGGGGCCAGGGATATGGGACTCAGCATGAGCCAGAGAAGTCTGTGGCCACAGGAGGCTGCCTGAAGCTGAGCTCCAGGCACCTCCCCTCATCCTGTAAGGCCCACTGCCAGGTGTCCTGTTCACTTTGTCTCAAATAGCCTTGACTTTGTGGGGAAGTTTCAGGGTCACACCGCAGCTGGGGGAGGGCACAGGTCCCTTGCATGTCCAGCATCCTCTGCATTCACACCCAAGGCTGCCTCGAAGCCTCCTCCCTTCTCCAGCTCCTCCTGCTCTTCCCCGCTCCCTGACAGCCGCTGAGCTACCTCTCTCAGCAGTGCCTTTTCCAGAGCACCGTGCCTTGCAGTCTGCTGCCCTCGGCACCCACTCCTCTTTGGCACTGAGTACTGCCCCGATGTCTGGGCGCACCAGCACTTAGCCGAAGGTCACCTCGGTCGCTTTCAAGCTTTGACGGTTCTGAATAAAACTTAGAAATGTCTGTGTGCGGGTGACTTGTTTTGGTTCTGGTGTTTGTGGGTGCGAGTGTTTGCCTTCTTTGCGCGGTGCCCTGGTCTCGGTGGCCGTGTGGGTGTCAGCGCTGTGATTCGCAGCTCCCCATGGCCATGCTCCCTGCCCGTCTGCACATCTGCTGTGGGCCGTGTCTGTCAGATCCTTTGCCTGTCCCAGAACCACTCGCTGTGTCTGCTGAGGTAAGAGACGTTTGTTGAGCAGGTCAAAGCGGTCTTTCGGCAGGTGCCACCTCAGCTGCTCCTTCTTCCTCCTGGCCAGTTGCTCGTCTTTTCTTCACGGCGTCTGCATAGAGCCATAGTTTTAAATTGCGGGGAAGTGCAGCTGGCTGTGCTTTCTGTCTGGATCACATTTGTGGTGCTGCATTTTAAAGTCAGCACCAGGCCCAAGGTTATCTGGGTTTTCTCCTGTGTAATCGAGGAGACTCCAGTTTGCATTTTACACTTTACGTTTTGGTATATGACCTTTGAATCAATTTCTGTGAAGTGTGAAAGATCTGATTCCAGAGTCTTTTTTGAATGTGGATCGCAGCTGTCCCAGCACCATTTGTAGAAAAGGCCATCATAGTCCCATTTGGTTACCTTTGCCCCAAGTCAGTGCCCAGTGACTGTGTTTGTGTGTTGTGTAAATGTTTCAGGGCTCCTGGTTCTCTTCCAACGGTCTATTTGTCTGTTCTTTCTCCAGTGCTGCGAGAGTTAGATGGTGTCACTCCTGCTTCAATGGTATGTTGGCTATTTTGGATTTTTGCCTTGATACGTAAACTTGGCAGCCAGGTTGCTGGCATCCGTTAAGTGATGGGCAGGGATTTTGATGCAGATTGCATTGAATCTGCATGTCAAGTTGGGCAGTGTCAGCATCTCAGCAGCATTCAGATGTCCACCCCTGCACATGGGCTGTCCACCGTGCTCACAGGCTGTCCCTCCGTGCACACGGGATATCCATCCGTGCACGTGGGATATCCATCCGTGCTCACTGGATATCTCTATTTTGCCATATTTGA